GAGTAAGAATGATAACTCTGTTTATTAATGATGTCAAAACTTGAGGGGAAATGATTGAAAATGATAACTCTGTTCTGTCATAGTTTATTAATGATTACTAAAAGATGAGCAAAAGGAAGTGAGACACATGTCCAAAAACAAAAATGATATGATCTATGTTTTGGAACATCATGAATGTACTCCTGCTAACTAAATTCTGTATAAAGAAACACTCTGGCTGCTAGTCAGTCAGGCTGCAAGATTCTCCGGACCACCATGGCCTGGCTCACTTGCTTCTCCCGCCGACTCCTTACACCCTCTGCAGGACCCATTCACCACCGGGGATGGCTCCCGGCAACTGGCACCTGGAACGTGGACTTACAGAGGTAATCTACTTGTGGTAAGGATTGGACTTCACCCAAAGGGTTTTAAGAGCCCCCTTGATAAAAAGTAGATGAAGAACTAGAATGGGGTGAAAAGATAATAATTATAAATAAGTCATGGGCCATAAAGAGTTTAAGAAAAAAGACTCTTTATAGATATAAAACAGAACTTTATAAAAGGTATGGGCCATAATGAGTCTAAATAAGAAAGATTTATTATAGATATAATACAACATATTCAAAAAGAAAAAAAGAGAAAGAAAAAAAGAGAGAGAGAGATTAAGATCCCGTTTAACTTACCCCAGAGAGTTAAGTTTTACCCCCTCAGATAAAAAGTCTAATACTCGCCCACGCTGTAGATTCCTTTCATGCTCTGTGTTACTGGAGGCTGGACCTCCAGGTAGCAATACCTGGCGCGTCAGGAACAGAGGTATTGAAAAGGTAATCAAGAAGACTGTCAAGGGCAGAGAGACAGCTCTTCTTGCAGATTGTCCAAGAAGAGGCAACCCCCTAATTGTCGCCACAGCTAGGACCTCGCTAAGGGGCCTGCAGACCCCCCCCCCATAGGAAAAGGCTGAGTGAGAAGAGTGAGAAGTAAGAAATATAAATAAAAAATAAAAAGTATAAATATGAGACAAACTAATTCCTCTGAGAGATAAATACATATTGATATCCTTAAAATTTTCCCTAAAAAAAAAATAATAATAATGTACCGATACTTGGATTGTCTGTGTAAATGTTATTTGTTTCTGTCTACTAACCTCCCTTATTTTCCTGGAAGAGAACGAGAGAGAGACTTCAAGGTCTCTTCTGCCAGCCAGCAACTTCTTTTGTTAACTCTTCTCTGTCCTGATATTGCTTTAAAAAAAAAATGTTGAAGTACTAGTTCATGATACTGGGAAAATAATGCTTTTGTTTCCACAGGAAAAAATAAAAATTTACATGGGTTTTGGTCATTTGAGTTCCATGAGTTACAAATACTTGCCATCATTTAAGAAAATTGGTTTCAAAGTATTGTTGGTTAAGATAAAGTTTTAAATAAATGATTTTTTGGTTTAAGGAAACAGTTTAAGATGTAAAATTTTAAAGGCTTAAGCATGTCATGAGGGTTGGAGTATGTGGTATTTTGGGTCTGTGAGTAAGTAGTTTGAGGTATAAAATTTTGGAACTTTAAAGTCTAACTCTAAAGTTTAAGTACGATGTAAGGTTTGAATATAAGTAAAGTTTATGTAGGGTCTAAGATGTAAAGGTTTTAGGTATGGGAATATAAAAAAAATATTTTGGGAAGAAGGAAAGCATGTAAAATGCAAGTTATTGGAATATGTAAAAGCAAGTTATAAAGGGCTGGGGATAAAAAGGCTTAAATAATGATTTTAAAAAGTGACTTGAGGTGTATAAAAGAATGAAACATGTTTCAGATTTCTCTCTCTTGCTATTCTACTGTTATATTGAGACTCCAAAGTTTCATAATTTTGCTCTAACAAAATACCATTTAAAAATTTCGTCTCTTTAAGAAGGTTCTTACAGGCTTCAAGAGATCTAAACCCACGATTGCCCACAGATGAAGACAGACTCAAAAAAGTACTATCAATCTATGGTTTGTTTCCCCAACTGCCTATTTCCTTGAGGGGCACATCTTTTTTTCTCTCTCTGAATATTGGAACCCCCCTTTCTCATCTGCCAAAACCATGCACTTAAAATTTCCAAATGTACACCTAAAAAAATTCCCCTTTAAAATTTCTTAACTTCATATTCTGCCCATTAATATATATTTGTTCCAACAGATTTCTAATCACTTAAAGGTTACAGACTATTCTAACTGCTGTCTGCATGTCCCTAGCCTCACATGATCCTACATCACCTGGACAACAAATAGAGCAGTCTACTCTTCCTGGACTTGGCCAACATTCTAGCCTTTTGGGTCCCCAGCTATGCCACAAATTTCAGCAGGAAGTAGTGAGATGATTACATCGCCCCTTATCATTCATTTATTAACAAAAAGCTGGAACATTAATTTGCTAATCTGGGATATATGGCTGTGGTGTCTGTTTAACATGTGTTATCAAAGAAATTACTAATATTCTCAATAGGCTAAAAGATTTGCTGCTACTTTAATTTGGGAATAATCCTAGGAGTTGTGCTTACTTTGATTCTTGTCCTTCCAGTCGTCTTTTTAAAACAAAAAAGGGGTAGATGGCACAGCCATATCTGAATGGAATGGCAGAAGTCACAAAGCCAGCACAGCTGCTTGACAAAGATCCAGCAGAGCTGAGACACATGATGGCTGCCATGCCACCTTTGATTTT